ACATCAGACTTTGTGGAATATATATGGTAGTGAGATGACAAGTTATCACATGCTCTTGATGATTTGTTCAAATTATTCATGAATATATTGTTACGTTGTTTGATTGGAAATCGACTAATTCTGAACTTGAAACTTGAATGATAAATACCTAATATTTTAAAATTTTAAAAAGAAATTTCCACAAGACTTAAATAATCATCAAGAAAAAGATCAAACACATATAATTTTAGAACGTGAAAGAGTTTGAGATAGAATTTACAAGTTATTATGTATGTTTTTAACAGTACTTTAAAATTTTCAAATTACAATGCCAAACTCAACTGATGATGTTTTCATAAAAAATTATTTTTTAATGAAATCAAACTTTCAAATTACAATTTAAAGATAAGGATTTTTATTTGAACAATAAAGATGATCTTTTCATACATGTGATTTAGTAAAAATATGCCACAAGTATTCATACTATACCTATATCTTAAAGCATGTGATTTCTTACAAACAATATTGATCTTTAACCTTCAAATCTTTGTGTCTAATTTTCTTCAAAAAAATATTTTTTTCAACCAAAACTTGAAATACAATATAGTCCAAGAAGTATACAGAAAATCAATTCAACACCAAACATATTCACTAACATTTTTACATCTGAGAATATACCAATGATTTAGTCAACAACTCATCAAGGTTTTGCAAGTCCAAAATATGATCATTGAAAACATCAATGTGGTATTGTATCTTTATCACATTATTCATGATATTGAGACTCATCAACTTGAAGCACGTGTAAACATGATTTGATGAATTTTAATGATGATAATGTTCTTAAATTTGAATGTTTCTAAATATTCTTTAAATTTGTTAAAGAGAGTAACATATTCTTTGATTTCATTCAACTCATTGTTGACATGATAGTGTAGATATAACAAATTTTTTTAAATAAATAAATATATATATATCTCTTTCTTTTATCTTCCAATTTATTTGTGTTTTAACAACAAATCAAAGCAATTTTCAAATTTTCTATCTAACATTAAAATAGTAGATGATCAGATTGTTAATTTTACTTGGAAATATTATTCTCATGAGTGCAATTCTGCTCCGCATCTCTTTTCATATTATTTTAGTTCCTTCATATTCAACAATCGAAACCTTGTAAGATATTCTGCCTTAGGAGATGGAAACATTTCTTAGCATGACATTCTTCATTTGACTCATGATGAATAGTCGCATACATAGATTGTTCACAATCATAAATAAAATGATTCATGTTATTATATGTTTGACATATATTAAGTGTGTTTATATTGATTTTCAAAATTAAATTTAAAAGCATTATATCTTGAATACTCTTCATTCAAAGAATTTGTAATTAAGAACAATTTCCATTCCACTTTTACGATATATACAATGAATTCCAATCCCTTTTAAAGTCTTATTTTACGAATTCCCAAAAATTATAATTCTTGAGTTTAGAAATTGATAATTTTGACATTCTTTTATGGATCAACACCTAGTCCGTTTTAAAATTCTCAATTTGGAAACATGAAAGACTTCAATTCACTCCAAAAAGTATATTCAAAACTTTTGGATCGGATCCAAATTTGTTCGGCTGTTTCTTTAACTCAAATTCAAAAGTCCGAAAGCTTCTTTATACACTACCGAGCATTGCATGATACATGAAAATGTTGAGTTAAAGATACCCTGCCAAGTGCGACCCATTAAACTAGACTTACTAAAATCTGGCAAATGCCAGGTTTGCCAGAACTACGGTAATTCTGGCAAATTTTTCTCCTTAATTCTGGCAATTTTGGCACTAACACTAACTTCACTATTTTTCCTCCAAGCGGTTTGCTACAACAGTTTTCAGCGTTTCAAATTGCTTAGCATGCATAATGCCTGCCAAAGAAATACTTGTCAGCCTTGTGCGTGAGTCATCTTTCTCCCATTTAATAATGGAAAAATTGCTTTCAACTGAGGTAGTATTTGAAAAAGCAGTAGCTAGACCACCGCACAATTGTTGCAAATGCAAAAAACGTCCATTTAAACAATCCCATGACTCGTTGAAGAAAGTCTTCTCGCTGTGATTGTCAATGGTCTCTTTCACATTCAGCTCATGCCCGTAAACAAGTAGCAGGTCACGGTGTTCACTCTCCGCCTTGTCGATCATGTCAGTGCTCTAGTGCTTGCCCAGGTGTGCCCTGTATTGATCCACCACCTCGCTGATAAATAAAGCAGGACGCATCTTGACTAAATCTAGTGGCATCACAGGAGGTGCTTCCAATTCCTTGACATGATTGTTAGAACCACGTTCCGCCTTGATCTGCAAACCGTTTGCCACAATAGAGAGTGAAAAAATACCTATCTCGTCCAATGTCTGCTGCTGCTCAAATCCTGAAAGTTCATAATACAGATCCCTTGCCCATGAACCTTGATCTAATATATGCATGACAATAGAATTTTTGGTTACAAACAAACCATCTTGCTGAACGATTGTGATAGAATCAATTTTGTTCAGCGCTGCATCTGTAGTAGAACGAATATCCAAACTATCTGCAATGTCTGTCATCAGCTTTGCTAACTCTTGGCGTTGCTGAGAAATGATCAGCTTTGGAGATTGGATTGAGGAGATAGTGGCGGCAATCCGCTCAAACAATGGTGATAGAGCTCCTGCAATGATCCACCATTGCATGGACAGAGCTTGGATAGGTCGTCTATTCTCCACATGAATCATCAACCGACGACGATGTTCCAAAAGCCAACAGAGAATACTACCAAACGCCACCCATCGCCACCCATCGCGTTGTGTCCTTTGGGCATTTGGAACCCATTTCGTTGATGAGATTTTGTTGAGCTCGAAGATGCACAGAAAACGCATGGGCAACCTTATAAAACATCTCATTCAACACACCATGCGTGGCATTTTTCACCACAATATCAAGCTGATGAGCAACGCACCAAATACGAAGCACAGGATTGGAACATTCCTTCTCAAGCAATGTGACAACTCCAGCGTGCCTACTTGTCATTGTGTTTTCTCCATCTGAACTGATTGAAATGATTTTGTCGCGTCAAGATGGACACACACTGTCAAGCATAGTCTTGATGAGCTTGACATAGTTTTGAGCAGTATGGCGTTTAAAGAATGGAACCAGCACCAGGTGGAAGTTGTACAACACGCCTTTCACGCACACACGAATTCGCTGGTCAAGGACAGTAACTCCCAAATGTGTGCTTGCATAAGCCGCTAGAGAAAACGCCCAAATGTTTGGATCCATGAGTATATCGGAGATGATCTGCAGGGCGACGGCAATGAGCACACGCACGAACTGACTCACCATATGATCATTGAGACCGTTCAATTTTGGATTCTTGGTCGCTACACGATGCTGTTCAATCACCTTGGCTGTCTGCCTAAATGACAGTCCAACAGAAACATGTTGCATGGCAAGGTTGAACCGCAAAGAGTTCTTGATCGTAACCAAGTATGATCCGTCTGGCTGCAGTTTGAACAACTTCATGGGGTTGGCCTTGGTGATTGGTTGGAACACATCGTCTTCTTCGTCTTCTTCCGGATGAAAAAACAAATCTCCCACCACAACATCAACTATTTGAAATTAAATTACAAACTGAAGAGTGTCCTTGTCTGTGTCTACGTAACGGTGTATGCCTGATATATCTCTGGTCTTGAAGAAACTAACCTTTTTTTAATACGAAAGCAGTTGGTAACTGGTCCAATCTTCAGGATGCTGAGACTCCAAGTGATTTTTATAGGCTTCAAGACGAAATGGAAACTGAAACAGTTGCGTGTTCTTGGTTCTTTGTCGCTTCACACCTGCACCATCCCGTTTTTCACGACCGATATGGACGCAAAATAAACACTGAATTGTTGTAATGGTGCCTTGTACAGATCGTTGTACCGGTTGCAAACCAAACTCAACGCCATGTTTGACCTGAAACGGAGTTTTTCGACTCATGATGGATTGCAAAAGCTTCGCTGTGACTTCGGTGCTTGCGTTCGAGACAAGAGAACTTCGGGAATGCATTCCTAACCTAATATACTCCTTCCCGCTATCCACTCCCCGTCTCCCCTTGGATGCTTGCGAGATTCTCTACATTTTGACTTCCTACACTTCCCGTCTTATCCTTGTATTTTTTTTCAAAACTTCATACAGGTGTGGAACTAAGTGGGCTTGATTAATTCTGGCATATTTTCCAGATTAATTTTGGCAAATCTGGCGTCTAAAAATAAAACGCCAGATTTTAGTAACCCTGCATTAAACAGATGCAAACATTTATTAACTCTCGACAGATGTCTAAATTTATGCCTCAAAGTGAATCAAATAACTCTTAAATTATGAAGTCCGAATAGTAGCGGGAGTGAATGATCAAACTAACCACCCCGTTCGTTTATCATAAGCTTGATCATGCTAAAGGGATCACGTTAAAAACTTCTCACAGTAAAGTACAGAAGACTTTTCTACTCATTTTCTACTTTTGTAGTTCTTCCCTCTAGTGGTGTTCCCATATCTGTAGTTCTAAGGAGACGAAGTCGACACAGATGAGATGTAGTCAACACTTTTCTTCACCCGACAAAAGTCAACAATCTTCAGTACAGGCAATAAATGCCAGGTGGAAATCACATTGGCTTGATACTAAAGCGGTTTTCGAGCTACAGTACTGTACTGGAGTGGACATATGATGTTGTGTTGAACGTGACGTGTATGTCTGAGTCAACCCCAAGCTCATCAATGTAAAGCAGAGTTAATAAATGTAGTCAACTTTGGAGACATTCGGTATTCTGGAAGGCATTCTGGCACACGAGTATCAATAATCAAACAAGCGCAGAACAGTTTTTATTTTCCAACCAATGAAGCTCAACGAAGATCGCGCGAACATCATTTGTTTGGTAGCAGAGGTCCTTGGGAGTGTAAACGTGCCCAGAGTAGATTTCCACAGTAGCACATACATTTGAGACACAAATGATCACATACATTGGTGACTGGATTGAGATACAACATATGATCACATACATTTGTGGGTGGGCCGTGTAACCATTAGCAATTACATTGTTGACATAGTGGGCCGAGTTGTACTGGACCTAAAACTACCGCCCTAATCTTCTTGATGAGAAAGAGGTCAGCCACAACAACTTTCCGAGGTAATATCCAGCTCGACTAAAGTTCTGTCTGATCTATGTCGAACCTAGGCCCGGGGAGGCAGAAATTCGGTTATAAACTTTAAAGTAGTATACTAAACTTTGTGTTCTCTTTGTTTGTGCTACAATTTAGTCTGGTCAAAGTGGTATACCACCGCTGTGAAACACGTCCACCTTACGACAATTTGATGAAGCTTCTTCTCACTTGGATGACATTTGGACACTTACATCCCACAGCTTTTTTGCGAGCTCTTCACTTTTAGCATAACCGCCTTTCCCATAAACATTGCAGTTATGAAAATACTCACCACTAACTCCTTTCAAACTGGGATGTAAGGCCAGATAACATGTCGTTGCTGCACCCTGAGACAGTATATGACTCTTCGATCAGTAAAGCACACAGTTCACACCAGAATTAATGTATCCAACTCTTGACGTGAAAAACACACAGCGTAAAGTTCTTCGCTGTTTGTACTTTCAAAGAATAGATTTACGTAATCTACATCACAAGGCAAGGAGGCACAAATCAATGCTGCATGCGCATCAATTGGTGAATATTCAAAAAACGCCAAGTTTGCGATATCAACACTCATTCTAACTCATGCTCTTGCTAACTTACCTGAGGTATTGACTTCATGAAGGGGCTATAAAACGGCATTATGGCTGCAAGAAACAGTGAAGCCAAGAGCAAACATTATTATTATGTGGCAACGATCCATGAGGGATAAAGAATTTGACTCAAAGGACCCAAAATATTTTTCTCCACGCACTATTTGCCTTCACTTGGCAAGGATTATAAAACTTTAAGAGGCATACATATCCTACATACCTTGAACGAGTCTGGAGTACCTAGGGAGACCCGTCTTGATTTCTCCTGGGTGAAGGGAGTTCGCCGTCACATTAGCTCCTTCTTCCTGCCAGCGAGCAGCGGTCTCAGTAATGATATAAATTGGAATTGTTAATTGAGATCGACTCACTTCCCATATCAGTAAAAAAAGCAAAGTACTTGGGATATAACTGCGAAAATCTGACACAAATCAGCCCTTCTCTCGATGACTCACGAACTCACACAAGCTCGAACATGGTTAGAAAATAGTGAATAACTCAAGAAGGCTGCAGAAGGCTGTATCGCTTTTTACTTACACTTAATCGCTTTGTGAGCTCATTAGCATGGAGAATGTTTGCAAGCTTCGACTGCCCATATGCGAGAAAAGACATATATCTGCAGAGTATGTAGACCAGAGATCTCAAAAGATTGGCCAACACGAGCAACACGGAACTGTAACGACAAGCGCTGAAGAAACCATGCTTGAAATGTTTCACCGTTCTTGAAAGTATGACAGGAATAGTTTATGATTCTTACCCAGATTTCTCGTTCAATCTCTCAAGCTGAATACCACCTCTGTACGTCATCATGTAAGCCATTGAAGAAACATTTATTATCCTGCCTTCGGTTCCCGTTACTTTAGCTGTCTCCTTCATCTTGTCCAGTAAAAGGTTGGTCAACAGAAAGTGGCCTGCCTAAACAGAGGTCTGGGTTAGAGATAGGTAATGTCCGTTGCACATGTATAAAAAATGTGGCACTAGTATCTCAAGAGCTACTCAAGAAAGAGTAGCTCCGGACAATATTTCAAATAGTCCTACATACTACACCTGCACATCCTAGTAAACGGAAGATAAAAAAAATGAACACTTCAGGCGACCAGCCTGAATATTCAAAGAAATTGTCCACGCAGAAACTCCATTCAATAAAACAGCTAACAAGTTACTTCTTAACCTACTGAAGCCACACTTAACAACACTCACCCAGATGATTTGTGGCAAAGTGCATTTCAACTCCATCGACTGACAACTGGTAAGGACAAAGCATAATCCCTGCATTGTTTCTGCAACCCAAAATTCGATTACACTCTGCTCTAAGATGATAGCATTGCAGTCTTACTACATATATTTGGTGGAAACTCAGACTGCAACTATCTTCTCCAGATTCCTGTTTCGATAAAGCGTCGATCTTCGTTCAATTGCAGTAATATATCAACTTACATCGTTTGAATCCTTACATCAGAATGTTCAAAGGAACATTTTTTGCCAAAAATTCGTTGGCAAATCTTCGTACCGAAGTCAAAGAGCTCAGGTCTAGCTCCATTATCTCCACCTTGGCACCTGGAAATTTCTTCAGTATTTCATCCTTTGTCTTTCGGCCATTCTCTAGGTTACGACCAGCTATAACGACATATGCCCCTCTCAGTGCTAGGACACGAGCTGTATCCTCTCCAATGCCACTAAATCCACCTGCAAACGCAAAAGGATCGTCCCGATTAGAACACTAGCAGCGTCCAACCTTGTAACTACAACAAAAGCAGCAGTTACACCTGCATAAGAAGCTTTAAATTATCAGAATCAAAATATCTGCTCAATTAACAGTCGAAGAGAGATACTCTAAGTCCATCAAGAAGCATAAATGTAAGGAGTTGGGTGCAAGAAACACAGTTATAACATTTTAGCAGTTGATATTCAGAACTAGCAGATTGTAGAGAAATCCGCCGAGAACATTGAAAATAAGAACCTACTGGGCTATTTCTAAACCGACGAAAATATCAGAGGAAACACTTCAGATTTGATCCGATAGTCCAAGCGACGATGCCTTGGAACTGAGAAATTACCCAAACCCGTTCCTTGCTTGGGGTATAAAGAGATATCGGCTTTTGGAAATAAGAAGGAGCTAGCGAGTAGCCAACTTGAATATTATCAGTCTAATAGTATGTAGACAAGTTCGCAAAGAACACCTATAACTGGATTTCAAATTTGCCAGCTCCTCAAAGGACCTGATTTGTTTCCATGCCTGCTGCAAGTCCATCGGTTATGGAAAACTCGTGGATGTAATCCAATCTCACGTTAGCCAGACCAATGTCTTCGAACTCAACTAAAAACTGAAAACTCGATCCTCATGCGGCAAAATGCGAAAGTGAATTCAAGATCGGACCAGCGTCCAAGTTCGGATTTCCTCGCACTGTCAGTCCCCGTATAATTGCACCAAACAGGTAATCGTATATCAAGCAAACTTGTTTTCACATTTGACAACAATCGATGGATCTTCAAGCTTCTACGTTTTCTGCAAGCCATAACCGGCCTAAATATCAGATTTTACAGCCGCCGTCTGTGACATGTCACATAACGAAGACTGGCAAAGTCGAATTGGCGGACTCTATATAGCCCTTCCCCCATTTCAACAAATAAATAAGGTGAGATTCAATTCCACCTTACTTCAACCCGCACTTGGTTCAAAGCATAAAAACAAACGAATGTCAGTAACCACAGCTTCAAAACACGCAAAATTCATACCGGTAACGATAGCCGTGAGTCCTGATGCATCGATTCCTTCCGTCACTTCGTCAGAGGTAGACCTGCCTCCAAACCCACTGGAACCTCGGCCGCCCCACCACCCCATGGCTGATCGAGTGAGACCAAATCGTCCACCTTTCAAATCAATCCGAGAGCTGAGAACTGACGAAGTTACAATTTCACATATCCGCAAGTAAAGCGCTCGCTAAAGATTCCGCGTGAGGTCCTGAAAGAGCTCTGACAGGCCGATGCTGGCGGCCGCAAGAACAGCTCGAGAAGCCAAATTCGGATCGGGATCATGGTCTCTTGCAAGCTTCACACCCTCCACACGAACCGATGTGGACGAAAGTGCTACCGTGGGATGGCCGGAAGGTGCAGGCTCCATCCGTGCGGTGAGGAATTACAATCAATGTTCTTCCATGTCCTTTCTTTCCTCTCCAGTACGATCGGCATTTCGGGCCATAAATGTTCCATCGCCATAATCTATCGGAGAATGTCGCCTGCTCTGCTTCCGTAATAATTTATTCCGGACCCGACTTTTGGAGTTCTTCGTAAGGTGGTCACCGAGGAATATCTTTTCTCTAGCATCGAGATGATATACATAGCTTCTTTGGCACTTGAATATTATTAAATCAAGCGCAATATATATATTGTATGGTTTTCTGACAAATGCAATATAATCCACTTGTAAGTGGATTTCTTCCATCAATGTGCATTGGACTTATAGCGAAAGTGAGTTTCTGTTTTAATTATAAAAGATGTTCATATTATATTTCGGTGCGAAATTTGATTCATGTGATATGAGTGTAACGTGATAATTGACCGCTCATATAGAACTAACGTTGATATGTATCATAATTGATATTAATAGTACTTTTTATTATACATGATGATGATTATTTTTAAAATTTTATTGCACTGATTTAAAAAGTACATTATCTTTATCAATTCATGTTTTATAATATATTGATCATAAATCGATCTAGATATAATCTTGTAACTTTCAATTCATTTATTTTTGAATAAACGTTATCTTAGAAGCGTAAGGTTATGGGAAGTAAGTTTTAGAAATACATATAAACAACTCTGTGCATTATAAAAATGAACTCAAAGTCATTAGCACATGTGACAAAATAACAGTTTCATATCATGTCTCTCATGAATAACTTGAGTCTTTTACTCAAGTGTTTGTCTTTAAAACTTTCTTTTATAGATTTACGAGAAAATCTTACTCTTGTCACAACAACATTCCTGGCGTCTTAGCTGCATTACTTGACGAACGACAAAGAGCACATACACATGACATAGTTGGTGCTCGATGCGGTAAACTAATCTTCATTAGTGAAAGAACCAAGTCGCGTTCATTTTTCACTAATTTATAACGAAGATAAAGCAACACGGCTTTATTCTAACGAATTTTTTTGCCGTGCCAAATACTGAAGTCTGATTACCATGATTTAGGTAAAAGGTGGCTGCTTATGGACAATGTTTACAAGAGAATACAGTTCCGGAGCGAAAGCGCAAAAGAAAGTTCCCCGAAGAAACCGAAAAAAGTAGAGTTAATTATGAATCATGAATCCGTGAATCCATCTTCATGAATCCGTCTACCAACAATCAAATGTCAGTCAAAGGACAGAAGGTGACCAAAAAATTAGAACTTCCATTACTGGAGGTTAATGAACTCTTGATACATAATATACAATGGTAATGTATTTTGAGAGCAAAAACAAAACGTTTCCATCGATTACGACAGTTAGAAACATCATGACAAGTGAATAATATTCACCATAGTATGGGACAACATATATATATATATATATATATATATATATATATATATATATATATATATATAAAACATCTGATGAACAGTTAGTAAAATAGAGCTTAATTACTTAATCCGTCCTTTATTATATTGTGCTCGAATTAACATGTAAACTTGTTTAATAACAAAAACAAATAACCGCATGGGAAGTATCGAAGAGCTTCAATAAACCACGCAGAAGGAGGGAGATAAAGCACTGTATACGGAGTCTTTAGCGCCGACTGAGAAGGCTTTCCGAGAAGGAACACATGAATACCCTGTTGTACTGGGTAGCACACATCATTCACAGGTTACCCTTGCATGCCCTGCATTAAAGAGGACGATATGACGTTGTGTTGATGGTGACAGCTCGAACATGTGACAAGCAAAGCCGATGACTATATATGCATCACGCTGGAAAATGCAATGAACGCAACATCATGTATACTTCAAACGCTCGCAGTTTAGCTCATTCGTTCAGGAGACGTGTATCATTTGTTCATTATTCCAAGGAGCCAGATTCGTTCCGTCTCTTGGATTGCAAAGCCAGACGAGCATCCCTCTCTCTCTCGTATTCTCTTACATCAGCTCTCTGAAGAAACGCTACTTTCTCGGTGTAAGTATCCCCACTCTTTTTGTGCATTTCGAGCTCTACTTCTATACCTTTATCTTCCTTGAACTCTCCCCAGTCCTTCCTAGATTTATCTAAGATGTTCAACTTCTGCTTCTTCCCGATCTGTTGTAAAAGGGCGTCCAAACCCGATGACGAGGCGGCTTGCATTTCTGCTCTCTTCCTCGCAGCCACAGCAGCCTTGGAATTAGGATCAACAAACTTAGTTATCCTCACCTCTTCTCCCGCAAAGTCCCGCACTTCGTTGATCTGACAATTAAACGTTCACAACACTTCGTCAGCTCACTTCGATAATTTGTCAGTCCCAGATACGACTTATTAAAATATTCTAGGATTTGATTGGACCACCTACGCAGGGAGACAATTTGATCAGCCAAATGACCTAGCTACTGAAACATCAGAACTACCTCCATTTTGCCATCAGTGGATGCCTTGGTAGCCGCTTTCGCAGACGCTAAAGCTGCAGCCGCAATTTTTCGGGCATCTTCATTCTCGACATCTTCACTGCCTGCTTCTTGATCTTCTACACTTGCGCTCTCTTGCTTCTTGCCCGTGTCTATGCTGGAGGAAGTCTCTTGTTTCTTCAGTATATCCTCTATAGACAGCGGCTGATTTGTCTTCCCGATGTTGTCTGTGACGGATGACGGTTTCTTGGGAGCTATTCCTAAATTCACCATCCAGCTCTGCAAGTCCAGCTCAGCTGTGAGGACATGAACCGAAACATCTATGACAACCCTAGAAACCTTTAAACAGTTGGTCGAAACAGTTGGAGAAAAGTAGCCTTCTTTACATGAAGGACAAACACAATGCAGGTATTTCCTGCATTGTGAATCCTGCATTTTGTGCATAAATTGCAACGTCGAGATTGCACGTTGGAGGTCTTCTTCGTGGGACATCCAAAAGTACGAAGGACAGAGAAGTGGGCAGTGAGCTACCCTGTTTGCTCAAAAACTGGATCCAACAAGAAAGCATACGCTGTACAACACAGTCTTGGATTGAACGACATGAACTTAATTTCGGTATGTTTATTAGTCCTTTCAGCAACTATATTAACCGCTAAATGCAGAAACAAAGACTGCTCACAGAAATCAGCTCAAGTATAGGAAGACATATGCACTAGGGAGGCCACTTGTTGACTCGCAAGTATTGTAGGAAACTGCTTGCTACAATAACTCATGATCAAAGGAACCGCTGATCATCTGTCGGAGGTCGGGAATGAGACCCCGTGCCGTTAAGTTGAGACATCTGAATCATCTGAAGAGCTCATGGTGAGCATTTTGGCCTCTTGTTTCTATCAGATCAGTTCAACCATCTTGCCGTTCAGAAGGTGAGGCAAAAAAACGGAAAACGACGTCCACATACTTAACATCAGTCTCGATGTGATCCATGCAGTATGAAATGCTGAGTTGACTGTAACTCCTAGACTGCTACGCTCAAAGGACTTCGCTCCTCTTTACTGTACTTCAAAGTACGTGCCCCATGAACATTAAAAGCCGCACTCTTTTCGATTCATCTGCGTCAGGTCTTAATATCACATATGGATGGATTCAGAGAACTATCATCTCTTATCCTAATTTGACATGTACAGGAACAACTCTCTACTGAAACTCAGATTGGAACGAATAAAGTTGCTATCTTGAAAAAAGCCACCTTGTATTTACTGTATGCAAACAAGTACAGATGAACGTTATTCTGAGCGGGACAGGGAACTGAATTACTTCAAGTGGATCAAAGACTTTGGGTCATCTGCTCATTAAATTGTGTACTCTTTTGGTCTTGCATTTGACCTTTGAAAAGTATTATAAACAGTGGGACACAGTAACTGCCAGCTAGACACCTCACCACAGAATGCAGTGAATGTTAAAAACCAAAGATCGGTAGGGGCTAGAACTTACAGCACAGACGTCTCCCACATGCTACGGACTGCAAGGGTTGAGTCGGCAGGCGGATGAGGCTATCCAATCTGCCATCTTTCCTGCCACACCAACCCAACCGGCCATTTCCAACGCTTAAGGTTTGTCAATAAAGGCCCGTCAACAGTGCGAACTAAATACTGAGACGTACACGTACATTAAAACAGGTAGGTAGAACAAGAAGTTAACGTTCTTACAAAGTCCTGTCATTCCAGACTTTCAACTCATAGTTGTCAGCAAGGTCAAGGAGTGGAGAAGTTCACCAAGTAGGGCATACTCAGGAAGCATAGACTGATAGAACTCGTGTACCAGCAAACTGAAACAACCTCCAGTGCAGCAAATTGAGTATCTATGCACCAAAGGAAGTGCTTGACTGGAACTGAAATAACTGTGTTAGAGAGTCACTGGTCTTGGCCTCGATGTGTTCACTGACCATAAGTACTGACAGTTTATCAAGCATGACTCAAAATAAACCTTCACTCCACATCATTCATTATCTAATAACTTAATAAGAACAACATCGTCTCTGCTTCATAGTTGGTTTAGTTGATAAATACGAGTAAACAAAGAGTAGCAGAGCTGTTACAAGCTACCCATCTTCGTCTTCCGTAGAGAAACTCTCGTACGATGCATCATAGGTCGACATCACTTTCAGATATTTATAACTGAACCTCTCGTCGAGTCTCGATCGAGAAAGATGTAGGTATATCAGATACCTGGAATGTCTGTAGCCTATACTGGTCTGCAGGAAGTGTGTAGCTGACTGATTTAGACTTTTGTAAGTGATCTTTCAAATCTCACCACCTGGTTTGGATGATAGCTAACTGAGGCATCACAACAGGGCTCTTAAGAAGTTGTGGATGACGCGAGTTAGATGGAGTTGAACAACGGGTGAAACTGTTACATCCCAATCCTCTTGATCAGACTAATTGTAATCTCCAGCTGAGTATCAATAACATTAAAAAAAAATCCATAGGATAGAAAGCAGGAAACCGGGTCAATAGACAATTTAAAGCTTCGACAAGTCCACAAGGCGAGCAGGAAGCTCACCGGCACAGCACTCGCCGACTTGTTGGAAGTTTCTGTTTGCTTCACGGGCTTGGACGCAACTCCAAAAAAAGGAACTCCAGCATTGCGGCCTACAGTTGGAGTCTCCTTCTTCGCGTTTAGTTGCGCCCATATAGCATTTATTTTGTCCTTCTTCACTGCAGGGATTCTCACAGCGAAGTCATAAGGTTGATGGAAGAAATGGTTTTAGAGAACATAAAACATAACAAGCTGTGGTAAAAATACCAAAAGTCTGCAGCTTTGACGGACTTAAGCTGAGAGACTGGCTCAATTTTGCAAAAAGGAACCTTGTAACGTTATGTGTAGAAGTATAAAAAACTACAAAACAGTAGTTGGAATAACAAAAAGCAATGAGATTAGACAACATTGATATGATATAGAATGAGAACATTTTGAACCACCATGAAGGCGGAAAAAAGGACACGAATTTTTCAGGGTAATATATCTCAGAAGTAATAAACTGAACATTTTCGAACAGGTTTCTGATTGGTACATCATATTCCAACCATAAGCAACAAAAAGCAGCAATGAGCCAAAAGCATTTGCAGTCTATAAGACAATTTAAAACTTCAAACGTCAATGCAAGGAGAATAGAGCAAATGGCCATCTATAAAAAAGTGACATCATCTGAATGATCTCAATTGATGGACCCCACTGCATCTAACTCCCACATAGCTTCGAAAATTCATGACTAAACCATGCGCAAAGCATGCATAGATTTGGAAAATAACAGAGCTTCAGTCTACAACTGATAGGACTATTAAGCCCGCCTACTTAGACGCATAATCGATGGTCGACATAAGCAAAGAGTAAAACCCTAACAACAGTCCACAACATGTTATCTAGGAGGACTCGACACGCAAATGACAGTGAGTAAGTGGACATACCATCGGTGGCCTCCTCGCCCAGGTTAGACTTCCCATCGTCCATCTTAGAACGACAGAGTTGATTGTGACGGAGCTCTTCTCGCTGATCGAACAGAAAGACAAGATCAGACGCCACCTCTGTCTGTCTCGCTTGAGCTCTGGAGCTCGATTTGCAATTTGACCACGACAAATGCAGCAGGAGCAGAACCGGGAGCGATTCGGGAAAATCCACGTCGCTCGTGGTAAAGTTGCCAGGCAGAGTCAACGACCAGGTACGACAAGGCGGCGAGAAAAGGTCGTTAGGGATTGTGACGACGACAGCGACATTGCACGCGAGGAATTCGACTGTCGGGGACCATGGAAAGGTGAGAAGCTAAACCCTCGAGTACGGAGGCGAGAGAGTTGGACGAAGAGATTGAGATGCTCCGCCCCGACAACTCACAACATGCTGTGACGGAATTTTCCGGAATTTCCCGCTGGTTTGTTGATTTGTCAGGCAGTTTTCGAAGCTCGGAAGCCCAAATTGTCGTAATCACGTGAAGGAATGTCAATAAAATATGCAGCCCCGATATTATTTTTTAAGTACAATCAAGTCAAGTTTATGGAAGCTAAATTCTTTCTTTTTTTTGGAACTAATTGGAGTTGGATACAAAGCCAATACTAACACACAATTTAAGGACTAATGTACAACTATTAAGTCACTATCAACGTGGTTTTATGCAATCATCGTTCTAATATTATGTTTGGGAATACTCCTAATCGCCATAGCTTAAAGAGTGTTATCTGTCTACTATTTTGGAAGGTTGTCTGTTTTGCCATTTAAGACACGAAATACCATCTGCAAACAGCATTTGATCATTTGATTACCAAGTTGAATGTTGTATGCTTGAAAGTGGGATCGAACTCTAGTACATGATCTCCTCGAGAAGAGGACTTATGCATTATAGTAGTTGGATTAGAGGATTAGATTACTCTTGTCAAATTATTTTGAATGTGGATGAAATCATTCTACTAGGATATACTCATTTAAGTTATGCTACACTTCATAGATATACCTTCTCCGTCCAACTTCTTTCTTTGCACGATTCTTCGAGCTTCATCCTTATTATGTTGAAGCCTTTGATTAGAATATCTTTAGAACATGTATATTCACTTAAGTGTTTTCTTATGAAGGAATTTGGCAAATTAAATAACATGATGGCTAATACTTAGTCAAGAGATTTGCTTATTTCTACTGGATGATTGTTATTAAACTCAGTTACTATATACCATTTTGTAAACATCATATGTTTTAATGAACGTATATCCATCTTCTTGGATAGCTCACCAGATATAGCTTATCAAGATAATTCAATATATGGATATGCGAATGTTCTAATCTTGAAATTATTTGCAGTTGCGAACAAAAACTTTGACATGTATCTATTAAAAACTGTGTTGAACGTTACATATTTTTCTGAACATGAGTGTGAAATTTCTACCTTAAATTTGTAACATATCAAAGTCAACATGCTTTCATTTTTTTACATACAGCACTAATAATTATATTTCATTGAATAACAATAATCATGTGAAAATTTGAATTTAGCTGAATCGATTGTTTAGCTAGATAGCTTAATTTTTTTAAGAAAGATAGAATGAAGTTCTGATTTTGATGCTTTTTTAATCTAGCACCATATTGAGTTAAGCATCTATACATCTCTTTGTAATTGAATTTTATGAAAAATTTTCTCTAATAAAAATAAATTGATTTTACTACTAATTGATAAGTACATCATCATTCTATTTTTATTGATTTTTAAATAAGCTATTTCACTTGCAATATTTCAGTTTCAAATTTTTGTAGAATATATTCTTCATTTAAAATATCATTTATCAAATAATAAGTTAGAATTATGATTTAACTTTGTATCCAAAAATAAAAGTTAATTCTTATATAAATATAGTTTATAAGTTTAATTTACGTTTTTAACATCAAATAAATCCAAACAAAATTTATTTGTATATTGTATCATAGATCAATAATTTACATTGAATTATATAATGCTTATATTCATAGTTTGTGATTTACCATATGATTACTTTAATAATATTTATGTGTTAGAATTTTCAAACACAACTAAGAGTCACTCACTCTACACATGCATAGCCAACATTAGAATTAAGTGGTTTACTAAAACCTAAGGTCTACATTGACATAAACAACTAAGGCTTTGTTTGTAAAAAATTTCCAGAAGTTTTACTCATTAGAGTATCCATTTAAATACCGAATTATGATTCTAGGTGTGTATTAGATAAGTTCATTCATGTGTTAAATTCATAATCTACTTTGTAAAACTTCAATCATGATATACAACAATTATTTACAATGCATGTATGATAAACGAATTACCTATTAATCACTTCTACATCTAACAATAATTTTGTTTTTATGTGACTTGCAGACATTCATGATAATAAAATTTTAGTTGATCTTTAAAACAATATTAATGACAAAATATTCATAATGTTTCTAAAAATTGAAATGCAAGTAATGATATTTTCCAAAAAAAATCTAATTTTATCATTGTGAATCATTCGAATGTTGTCAATATATTTGACATTGCTTCTGCAAAACGGTTCCATTTTATATAAATGTAAATAAGATTTTTTTGAATAAAATGCAAATTAATGAAGAAGAAAAGTAAATCCATATCATTTTTATCATTCATATAAATAAAAAAACAATAAATATTATTCAAAGTGAATCAATTTCTCATTTTGGTCCAATTAAACCATTACTAATGAATAAAAAATCAATTGAACTTAATATTCATTTTGAAATTTAAGACAAAATCAAAATTTGATAAAATAAAAATTTTAACAAAAAAATTCTTAAAAAATTAAGTATTTAAAAAAATATATCTTATGAATAATATATATATATTTTAAGATAAAAAACACTCATTTACAAAAATAAAACCTTATGCTGTATTAAAATCTTATTAGTCATACTTTGACGGATGGCTATAATTATTTTAGGTGCCGTTGACTTAGTTCTTGTCTTTATGCAAGGTCTAAAATTACAAGCAAAGAAGTAACCGATGAACAAGTAAGTATTAAACCTATCAGTAAACATTTTTCAAAACCTGTGCTAAAAGTTGAATTTCATGGTGAGTTTTATTCTTATATTTATACAAATAAATATTTTATAATCATTCAAATTTTTTTTAACTGATTTACATTTATTATAATGAAATCAAATTCTTTTCAAATTTTCTTGACATTGACTTTTTATCTTAAATGTGATTTTTTATAAAATAAATATTATGAAAAGAATAATCATTTTTTGTTATAAATTCACAATTAAAATAATTAAAAATAAAGGAATTCAAAAAATGCGATTTTTTTAAGTTTAATTAAAAAAATTTAAAGAAAAAATATTTAAAAAATATAGTAAAAAAAAGTAGGTTTGCAAAAAAATAAATTTTTTCTCAAATTAAATTTAAAATTTAAAATTTAAACAAAAAAAATTTAAAATTTAAAAAAATTGAATTTCAATAAAAAATGAAAATTAATTTTTTTTCATGAATTAAATTTGAATAATTCAAACATTTAATTCAAAATTTTTTTGATAAAAGAAATGACATATTTTTGGAAATAAATCAAATTTAAAAAAATTTCAATGATGGATTTTGCAGTAGAATTCATTTAATAATATCAATCATTCCAATGATCATAATCACAGGTGCAAATTTTCTTGCATGTGATATTTTTAAAATTTTTATTTCATACGTGTCGTGCGACTCGATATCGTCATACACCATATATCACTGACATGCTCTACTCACAACTCACACATACATACATAAGGAACGAGAGTGTTCACACACAAAGGTATCACAACTAAAAAGTCCGAAACACAAAACACAGAGTCGAGCCAAACTCACTCCACTCTCGGAGACCTAGAGTAGAAGCTAGTGGAAAAATCCCCTACGCGAAAGGCTCAACTCGAAGAACTGACAGTTTTTCAAGCTCGCCTCGACTATACTCTTCATCGAGAGTCGACCCACCTCAACGCTCCTCGACCATCGGCCGTGCATCCGACTCAAATTCGACTCCAACGTGCATACACATGACATCTGTTGTGCGACTCGATATCGCCATACACCATACATAGCTGACATGCTCTACTCACAACTCACACATACATACATAAGGAAAGAGAATGTCCACACACAAAGGTATCACAACTCCCCCCCTAGATGGCGGTCAGGTCCCCCTGACTTCCAAGTAGCCCTATCTACAACTACATGCTATGCATCTTCATGGGTGCGCAAACCAGTAGGCGGGGTGTTATGTCGTCCCATCGTTAATCGCATATCTGCAATTCATAACATGTGAAGATCAAGTCATCTATCCTCCGAAGTACATCGAGGACAAATCCATCATTCAGTAAAAACAACATCGATAGGTGGAGTCAGACACAACATGTGTCATCCCCTAGAACACCTATCACACACCAACATATTGGCCGCCTGATCAGATGACCCACATAATATGCACCTCAAGCTGGCACGGACAATCATCAAGCTTGGGTTCATAGTACCATCCACATTTGGAAGGTGGCATGGCGCACAATTGCGCACATGATCCTTCCAAACGACATCGTCACGACCCTCCAACATGAGAATTCCAGAAGGTAACACCTCTCGCACTTGCAAGATAGTGCGTCATGCCGTCACATCCAACCTAGTCGTTGCAGTCTGCTGTAAATAGACGTAGTCTTTCGCACGGAACCTACGAATCGATGATCGATAACCTCTTCCCCGGATGATTGCATACCGCAACGTATCCATGTGCTGAGCAATCGCAAGGTTCTCAAATGCTGCAGACATAACTCTTCGAAAGAGCGCTGCTCGTTGAGAACACACTCTTACTCAAATGTCTGGATCATCAAGGTTCACCACCTCACTAGACTCACGACGAATCGCTACCGGCAAGTTTGGGTCTCGACCGTACAATAGAAAATATGGTGAGAACAAAACCAAGGATGCTTGACAACTGAATCGATATCCCATGGCCAGCCATGGAACTTGAATATCCTAGTCTTCAAAATGCTCCTTCTGTAGACCATACTTGCGCAACGTTCTCTTCACCGTTTGTACAACACGCTCGGCCAAACCATCCGCCTTTGAATGAACTCGAGACGTGGTCTTGAGATCAATCAACGTCTTGTCTCACAAGACCTCAAACTCCTCTTGAAACTCTGTACCCCGATCGGTCAACACCTCAGCTGGTGCACCAAAGTGACTAAGCACCCTGTCCAGGAATGCATACGCTACTCCTTCACTAGCCTTGTCAGGTAATGCCACCAACTCAATTCACTTGGAGAAATGTTCCACCATCACCAACACATACCGATGATGTCGTACAGTCAAAGCTAGTGATCCAGCAAAGTCTAAACTCCAACGTAACCCAATCCTATGATAGGTAAGGGATGTAACTCTACTATCGGGGCATTGAACGATGCCCTCATTCGATCACAAAGCATGCAACGTGATACCAACTGCTGTACCTGCGTATGCATACCACGCCACCAATACTGACCAAGGAGTAAGCTGTATGTACGCTTCACTCCAAATTGTCTCAACTCCTCATGAGCATGCCTTACAATGCGCGCTCTTTGAGCTGGATGCGGTACTACTCGTACCCTATCGTCCTCCCACACTTGGAGAACATTGATCCCTCCAATTGATATCTCTTCGCCCGCTGGAGAACACAATCTTGCTCCTTGGCATCCACTGTGGCACCGTACTGGTCCATAGGAACTCCAACACCAACGCATCATCGTGAATATCACGCTAATCCACATCACCATCCTCAACCTCAAGATCTAAAGATTGACAATCCACTATCTGACTTGTAAGACCGAGTGTTGCACATACGTATTAAGTCTTAGAAGTGGTCAAGTGATTAAGGATGATTAGCCAAGACATAGCTAAGTTCAGCTAGTTATGACTAAACTAATTAGTTATAACTAAGTTTATCTAGTCATGACTAAGTTTAGCTACAATGTTTATAGTTGGCGGAATAATTAACGGAGTTCTAGAAGAGTGGAGTGAGCACTTTTATTTTGTCTTTTACAAGGAGTGAGCACTTCTTTTTGTCTTATACAAAGGTCTAGATTCCAAGGGATTAGATATTTGACTAGAAGCTTGGATTTGATTGGTCTGACTAAATGTATGAAAGATGATTGGCTAGACTAAGTCCAATGTTGACTTACTGGCTAAGAAGCTTGTAGAAGTTTAAAAGCTTCCAATGGCATGTTGCCACCTCAACCTTGGATTCCGGAGACTTCTAAAAGGTTTATGTAGGCGAATGGCATGTTGCCACGTATAATGGGTTAATCAAGCTTACCTAGGTAAAAGTAAGTTAGGAGGAACTACCACATGTTAATATGGTAACTTCTCAAGTAGTATAAATAGAGAGGTAGAGTAGTAGCTCTCAAGCAAGTTTGGAGAGTCATGTGTGATGACTTGTTTCATATCTGAAAGAGTGACGATTTTCAATACCTTGGAGTGTCGATGTGTGTGTGTGAGTTGGACTGCTACCTTGAGTGATTATGTGAGTGAGTGTTTGGGCTATGAGTGTGAGGATGAATTCTAGTCTTCTAGAACCATGATGCGCTACCGCAAAGCCATCTGAGATAAACCTGAGTGAGAGTCAGCCTGGAAGTTGCAAACTAGAGTAAGATGTCAAGTGGTCCTCCCTGCTAGAGGCTCCACGTATCCAACACATGAAATCAGATGCATGCCAATCGGGCACCACCTCCTCATCAACCTCATTATGCCACCTAGCTCCAATGTCATCCTCCTGGCTAATGCATGGATTCCGACTCAAACCATCAGCATTCAGGTTTGCAACTCCAAGTCTATGCACACCTGAAAGTCGTATTCCTGTAAGATGAAAGCCCACCGTGCAGGCTTTCCTATGAGCTTGTCGGACTCTATCAACCACTTGAGCGGCTAATGATCAGTAACAAGGCTGAACTGCGTACCAAACAAGTAACATATGAAGTGTGCCACAGCTCATACCGCTGTTAGACACTCTCCCTCGTACGAACTATACCTCAACTCTGCGGCATTGTTCGAACGACTAGCTTACGCAATCACAAACTCCTTGCCCTCATCATCACGCTGCGTCAACACCACTCTAAGTCCCAACATACTCCAATCAGTGTGCAATTGGTATGGACGACCTCTGATAGGTCTCCTCAAGATGGAAGCGGCCACCAACCTAGCCTTGAGCTCAACAAAAGCTCTCTTCTGCTCATTTCTCCATTGCCACTCCTGATCCGACTTTAGCAACTGGTTCAAAGGCTTGGCTATAGCACTGAACCCCTTCACAAACCTCTGGTAATAGTTCGCCAAACCATGAATGCACGAACCCTACTCACATCCGCCGGATGAGGAATGTGCGCAATAGCCTCAACCTTTGCTTGCTGAACTTTCAAACCACATGGATAGATCACATGACTCAAGTACTCCACCTTCTCATAGAAGAACTTACACTTCCCAGGATGTAACCGCAAACCATGAGCCCTCAACCGCTTAAGCACAATCTGCAAATGTATATGGTGTTGCTCCACCGTGTCGCTAAACACCAAGATATCATCAATGTAACATATGACAAAATCTAGCCCGCTAGTGTCCATAACTCTCTGAAATTCGGCAGGTGCATTCTTCAACCCAAAGGGTAAGAATTGCTACTGATACAAACAATCCTTGCCGTGGGAGTTGACGCCTCAAAACGCTGTCTTGGTCTTGTACTTCTCCCGAATCGGCAATTGATGGTTTCCTGCCCGAAGATCCAAAGTACTAAAAATCCTCGCATGTCCCACCACATCGAAGATCTCCTTAGGTGTAGGCATGGCATACTTATCGGCCTTTGTTTGCCGATTGATAAGACGGTGATTTCCACACATCCGCCTATCCGTGTAGTTGCCATGTACATCCTTCTTCACTGGCATGACAGTGGCTAACGCATACTCACTATGCGACAACTCCACTAACCTAGCCTCAAGTAACTCCAACGTCCGACTCCGAATCAATTCCCTTTTCATATCACTATGTCGATAGAGACGACAAAAGATTGGGGTATCACTAGCCAATTCTATCCGTATGCCGGGTCCAATCAACGCACCCAACTCTTTCATACTGAAAGCAAAACAACTCTTATAGTATCGTAGGAATTGTGTCAATCGTCGCCTCTCTCCTCCAGTGATATGGGAACAAATCAATGGCTACCATTGCTCCTCCATGGACACACTAGAGGAAGTCAACAGTGTCAGTTGTTGCTATGCTATATCCTCCAAAGAAGGTTTATGGCCTCCTTCGTAGCCATTTCCACATGAGAATCATCTCCAACTGCATGGGCTGCAACTCTAGCAAGTCCTCTCGTCACGTCCCATGAACTCCAAGGATGATGAATATCTCGCTTGTCGTCCCCAACCATTGCCACTACCGTCTTGATAGGTAATGAGCTAACAAGTGATGTAGCAACCATCAAATCAAAGCGTAGACGGCGTTGCTCGGTCAAAACCAAGCTCACAATCCACGTCAAGCAGTTCAAGTCCATAGCCTGATCCAAAACCTGACGACGCGAAGTCTCTAAAACTGAAGAAGCCGCTGTCACATTAGTCACAAATCCCATCGCACGCTCTCTCTCATCAATGTTGAGCTCCACTAACTGATGTACTGTAGAATCCAAGAGTAGTTCATCACGATATGCATGTGATGTTGGGTAACTAACCAACATAGGTAAAGCCATCCGAGGCTGACCTACGTGATTCACCAACGCCATAGGTGACGTGTCAACAACTCTCACCACCTGAGAATATCGAGAAGCATCCAAGATCATGTCAACGGTGAGTGTAGGATCAAGATGCACAGAATCATAGGCATGACACAATATCTCTCGTGGCAAAAGGTTGGTCCACCATAAACGTGCACGATGAGCAAGTGATCCAACCTTTGCAGCATCCAATAAAACAACTGATCCAATTCATGCTCTGACCTCATGGACGCTCGCCATCAACTGGGCTCGAATGTCACCCAACAATGGAGCGTTCTCTAAAATGTATGCTAGAGAACGTGTCTGATGCACCTGGAGATGACGTAACACTCGCAACATCTACTAAAACATTTGAGATCTAGGGTCATGCAACCCTGCTCCATGACCAACGCGTGTGTGCCCTTGACATGGCCATCTTGCAATCACCAAATCAATGTGGCCAACTCAATCGAGATTGACGCCTCCAACAATGAGATGTCCTAAGGCAATGCCTTTTGGTATCCTCGCACAGCTAATTGTGGCAACAATGAAGGAAAACGTTGCATCAACTATGCAATGTGTCAAGAAGTGTGGAAAGTGAATTCCACTGGTAGCCGGCCAAACAAGTTTTTCTGGAAAAAAACGTTTCAAAAAAATGAAGTTTTTTTTAGCTACAGTAAGTTTGTAGGTTAGAAAGTAATAACTACGGGATAAGAAGGTCGGAAAATCGAAACAAGAAAGAAATTAGGGGAGACACGGATTGAGGAGCTAGGAAAGGAGCAGAACGTGCGCGGGCTTGCTGGCCAGGCTGGTCGTGTCCGTGCAGGAGGCTCGTAAGCCCTGGTGGTCGTCTTCTTGGATCTCACGATTATCTACTGTCTAGAGCAAGTAATGCGCGAGTTGAAATCGCCCCGGACGATTTTTTTCTTTGAAAGACGGAAGCCGCGGTGTCTTTTCTGGGTGGGCTGGTCCGAATCTTATTAGGATGGCGTTGTGATGAATGAAATAGAGTTTTGTTGCACGAGGCTCAAGGGCAGGCAGGGGGCGGAGGCCGTGATTTGTTTGTGATTGTGATGGTGATGGAATGCATGTGAGTTTTGAGAAGTGGTGTTTGTACATCTGTGGTCGTGTGGGATTGATTTGGCGGAGGGTGGGAGAGGTGAGAAGTTCCAAGTGCGTCGGAGTAGGAAGAATTGCCGACGTTTGGATTGAGGTCAACGAGAGCTAGTCAAGGGTTTGCATTTGATGAACACGTAGGTGAGGTGGGAGAGATTTTGCCTGCCATGAATGGGTGTGCAACCGAGACTGGAAGATGGAGTTGTTGTAATTGGAGTAAGTCTCCGGCTCAACTCTTTATCCCGACGTTTAAGTGAGGAGTATATTTGCCTATTCGTTTATTTATTTTCCACTTGGGAGATCTCTCATTTTCATACGTTGTGTTTTAAAGATCTTACGAGAATCTAAACTTAGATAGTCGAAACGTCTACATATCCATCTGATTTGAGCTCTAGTTTGCTCCGCCAAAATTTGTCTCAGACTCCACCATCGCACGTAGTCATGGCCGATCCGCAACAGCAAACGCCTCAGATTGAATATGGAGGGCAGTCCGGGTCTACGGAGGACGCCTCACGAGAGGCTAGAGGAGGGCAAGAAGGTAGAACTGAGACACCCACCGATGGTGAGGAGTTAGGTACATAACCAGCAGCTGCGCAACTCGCCTTAGACAGGATTACCCAAGATGGGCATCTAATGTTCATCCAAGACACATCTCCAAGTCACGATGACGATGATGCAGATGAGGAACTTGTCGTCAGTGACACGGAGACCAAAGAAGGCATAGTCTTTGACGCGTGGGATTATGCAGAGGAGGATGACGATGAAGGGTGTGGATTGGAGGAATTGGATGTGATTGTCAAAGTGGCGGATGCTGCTGCATCTCTTGAGTTGATCGCGGAGAGTAGCCGGGTTTCTTGGTAGCTTGTAGCGGGAAATTGGCTCCGGTGTTTGATGCCGCTCTCAGTCTTGAGGACGTGAGGAGGAGGAGGAGGAGGAGGAGATATGCGCCAGCGGAGGATACCCTCGGCGTCAATTGTCAAGTGGAAATTTCAGGAAATCCGAGCATCGCAATATGATATCGAGGATTTTTGCTTGTTGAAAAGCTTGGACTATCGCTTTCGAATGCCAGGATTTGGAGAATCGGTTGACGCATGAGGAGTTGCCTTGCGAGAGGATTGGTTCTAGTCAACTAAGTTTTGCCACTCCACTTTAGGTCGCTCCGTAGAATGAAACGACCAACGGATCATCGTGTGAGTTTTATCCTCTCTCAGTTGTGAGTTATCATAATCATGGAGGGTCACGAGGCTGGATGGGAAGGTGTGCAGAGGCAAGGCCAGGTCATAGGTGACTTTTTGAATGCGTTTGGTCAGGGTTTAGGCGGAATGTTCCACGATCATATGAGACCCGCGACAACTCAAATTTCCAGAGTTTACTGTGACGGACAATCTGCCTCACGGTGGTCTTGGCCGTGGCCGAACGCGAGGAACTTAGGGATAAATAGCAGTCCTGCGAGATTGAAACATGATAAGAAAACGTGGCAACCTGTGCCCAAGAGGATGATCTCGACGCTTGATTTTGCGATTCATACCATTGGAACTCGAGTCAGGCAGGCCGGTGCCGAGTTAGGCGCATGCTTGGAGCACACACAACTCTTTGTGATGAACACAGTGGGGAGTCGAGTAGGGCAGGCGGGAGCAGATTTGGGAGCATGTCTAGAGCAGCTCGCAGGAAACGTTTTGCAACATCTACCTCGGCCATTTTATCGCACTCCCAGCTTAACCCTGAGTATGTCCGGGCCGTCTTCTTACACAGGATCAGTGGACTGCGTTCGGCCAGCCATCGCTGATTTGTCGAAAGTGGAAGGAGGCAGTGCAGAACGCAACATTTTGTGGGTCTCATCAACATCAACCTCCAGCTCGAAGTCTCCCAAGTATGCGAATGGTCCAAACGGGCAGTCATCCCATACCACAGACGACGAGCTGGATTCTATAATTTCGGGAAGTCCGCTCCACAAACGGAGCAATGTGGTTGTGACAACCACTTATGACAGCCAGACCCAGGAAATTGAGAGTTCCCTAGTGGCTAGAGGTGACCTCTGGCGAGTGGAGGCGTCTCACGGGGGGCCTTCGACGCCTGGTAGTGGTAACACCCTGCTTTTTCTTCTCCAGCTTGGGCCGGTTCTGTTCGTGAGGGATACAACAATCCTAGTTCCCATGCACCTCTCCAAGTAGCATCTTTTATGGTATGGGTTTGATAGGAAGAACGGATTGCACTCTCTCTGTTTTGCTGTGTGGTCAAAGCACCGGAGATGGCTGTCAATGTCGATGATCTCGCTCAATCCCATTTCTTGCTCATTTTTGGATCTGCAGTTTCCAAATGGTCAGTTGACGTATGTTGCAGGAGAGGGTGTGACCGGCAGCGCTTTCTTGCCTGCTTTTGGGGGTCTTTTGCAAGCTCAAGGCAGGCTTCCGGGCAATACAAAGATCAGTTACTTCTACAAGAATATGTGGGGGACACGGTTTTCTCCGGGTATTCAGCTCCCTGATAAGTCAGTTTCTTTGGGAATCTTGCAACCATTGGCCTAGCAACGACTGGGTCTGATGCTTCGTCCCGCTATTCAGATGAGTTTGACCCCAACTTGGGAAGGCCGTGATACGGGATGCAAAGCAGAGGTGATATATTCACCTCTGGAGAAACTGAGCTGGGGTGGAAGGGTTCTGCAGCGACCAGTGCCTTTCGACCAGCCGAGCCAAGGAGGACACCTGAGAGACAGGCGGAAAGCGTACATCCAGATCCAGTGCAATCCATGGAAGTAATGAAGACGGCGCAGGAAGTTAGGAAAGTTTGTCATCCTTTGAATATTGACCTCAACGTTGCTGATGACAGAGATTTTGATGAAGTTGGGATGTCAACAGTAGCAACAACCACAACCATTTCTTCGCAAGGTTCTGCTGTCGGTATGAGTTCACAAGCTGCACCCGTATCGTCTATATCTGTGTCCGGTATTACCCATCACAGTGAACAGTTCACTTCTGGATCTCAGGAGCAAATCGATGGAGCATGAATCGACTCTCGAAGGAGTTGGAGTGTTCCAGAGCTCCGTCCACACCGTCGCGAATGTGCACCGACCAGATGACTGTGTGTCTGATCGTCTGAGATTGTGAAGAAAATTTGTAGGCAACATCAAGCGACGTAGTTGCCGGTGGTCCCAGGTGCAGAAATCATCTGTTTGAAGACCGGATGAGCTTTGAGGTAGCCGTAGTTGTGAATTGAGTCTATTTCCTTTCTGCAGGCGAGCAGCCATGGCTGCTGCTGATCCTGCTTATGTGAATCTGCTTCGGTGTCCAAATGGAGGTTTAGTTGAACCTCCGCAGCCAAAGACGGGCTTTGGTTACTTCGTTGTTGTTCTTCTAAAATCCGTTGCCAAAGAAGAGCATAGGGCTAGAGACGCCGAAGACTACAGCAGCCCAGTCACATCACCGACAACCCGCCGAGGTCTAGAAGCAGATCCCAAACCCAACCTTCCCCACCAATCTTTTTCCCTAAGTTACGGATCTGCTCTGCCGACTTACCTTACCTACATTGTTTTAGCGACTAGAGGCAGTGCACCTTAGAGACCTGATGAGGTTATGAGTACCGACCGTAGAAGTAGGAGCATCTTGGGTTCACAAGGGACCAGATGAGCAGGCTCCTACAGAGTTTCCATGATGTCCGGCAGAGCCCACGGTTCGAGTAATTCTAGCAGTAGGTTAGCTCCCGGATAGTATGGCAGCGATTAACGATGGGGCTTATGGGCATCCGGCTGCTAATCCGGAAAGTTAGCGGCGGCCACTAGAAATAAGAGTCAGCCACCGGTCCGGAATTGACGGGCTTTTAGTTGGTCATTGGTAGAAGCTAGGATTTAAGCCGGGGGTTTTCTCAAGGTAGGAGCCTCTTTTTGTACTCCGTTTTGAGTTTTTTCAATTAAGAACATACCTGTAGCTTTTATATGTGGAACGGTTGTCGAAACCGGCCCAGGGACTGTTGTCTTGAGTAGATATTCAGGAAGAGTGTTGAACAGTATGGGAATCTGAAGAGTGCCCGGAGTGAGTGGAAAAGGGTCAGGCGTAGAGTGTTGAAGGTTTCCACCGTTCGGAAGGAGCCTAGAGGGGAGGGAAGACTTACTGCAGCATAGGCTGGTAGTCTTCAGGACACGGGCATTGTGTGTAGACCGGACTCCTTCATAGAGTCAGTCACTTTTTGATGCTAGGATTAAAGCCAGGTTACTAACTGCGAACCAGTCCGAAAGTGAGAGACGAAGTCAGATTAGGTGCTAGTGTTATTGTCTTAAAGGGGGAAAACTGTAGATCTTTGTGGGAACGAATGCGGAGTGGTTTACTTTGGGAAATGTTTAGTGTAAACTAAGTGATTTCCAAAGAAATACTTATACCACGTCGTGCTACAAGAAGAAACTCAATGTGCAATCTCATCCTTCTCCACATACAAGTATCTTTGTAAGAGGATACTTGACTACAACACTACAGCCAAACCAGTGATGATCCCATCAAAAAGATCCAACAAACAAACACTCTCTGGGAATACTCCCATACAATCGGTGTAGTAACCAATAGGGATAGCGTGCTAGGACCATATACTAGCCGATCACCTGAAGCCCGCTCTGCCTCTGCTAGTAAAGAGGCTTCACTCCAAGCCTTCTTCACCAACCTATAAGCCTCATGCTATAATGCATGGCAAGAACTCCAAAGTGGAACATCCAAAGATGAAAACACCGCCGATGCGAAGCTCACAACCTCCTCCACATCTTCATAGACCGGAGTATCGTCGGCTGACATGTTCCCCTCCAACAGATCATCCGACCATGTAAGCACTCCACTAAAACCCGCAACGGATGCCAAGACCGCGGAAGAGGATCCAAGAAGTCGAGCTCCTGAAATAAATCTCACAGGCAGCTCGTTTATACGTCCATCGCCGGACTGCCAACCATGAAGATAGGCAGCGGTCTCCGTCCAGTAGTCCATCCGAAAACCCATCGAATATAACACGGCTCCACCAACAAGCACATCATATGACTCTGCTGATGTGACCACCGCACGAACTTCATACTGTGCGCTATCACAAGCATGATCACACCTTAACTACACCAATATGTGCTCTCTGGTCATAAAGTAAGACATATCGCAAGTGCCACAAGTGATGGTTGAATCTGGAATGCACAAGGCTCTAGGTCGGACCTCCAAACTCCCAAACTAATGCAGGCTGTCTTGCCCAACATCAAGGGCTGTGCACTAGAATCAAGCAAAACTCTAGCTGGCTGTGGTAACCCACTTTTGGGTTTTTGCGGAATTTTAAACATTTTTGAAAAACTGTACCGCGGCAGCAGTGTAAATAGCCATCGGTACATTAAAATAGAGTGAAACTGGATGATCTCGGAGAATCTCGTAGAATCCAGGAGTTGGGCGCAATGTTTGGAACAGGCGCCGCCCTAAACGACGGCCTCTGAAGGAGTATCCCTTCGGCGCAAGGCGCATAATCCGCCTTCGGCGCTACGCCTTCGGTGCTAGAGGAATTCCTCAGAATCTAAGCAATTCCCAAACGCCTTGACTTGGTTAGGGTCTCGTTGGAAAGAGCTTGACGCGCTGGTTCTAACAAGCCTAAGAACGCTTGGAACGAATCAAGACTCAGGGAGTTGTGACGGTCGAAAGATACAAAGATCTTCGCCTACGCATAGGCGAAATAGGGTTTGACGTTGGCGGGGAGTCCGCCGAGAATGCCGCCTAAGCATAGGCGTGGAGGACTTGCACCTACGCATAGGCGAACGGAGACCGCCTACGCATAGGCGCTTCGGCGTCGGCGGCAAGTCCGCCTTCGGCCCTAGAAATCCGCCTTCGGGGTTGGAACTTGTACGGCGCCTTCGGCGGCAGCGCATCACAGTTGGATGAGGACCCAACGGAGTAGCAAAATCCGTACGGACGGAACGGACGAGTGCGCCTTCGGCCGGTCAGGGTTTCGGAGACAGGAGCGCCGACGGAGAGGCGAGAGAGATGGACAGACTGGACGGAGTCCGTTGACCGCAGTCAACGCCTTCGGCGCTGCGCCTACAGCGAGGGACCTGCGCGAACGAACGCCCTGTGTGCGGACGGATTTCGCCTACGCATAGGCGAGCGCCTACGCACAGGCGGATGAAGTTCGGCGCCGGCGGAAACTCCGCCGGGGATTCCGCCTACGCTGAAGGGGGTTCGGCTTTTGTCCTATGCGCGGACGAACGCCTTCGGCGGAGCGGGACTAGCCAAGTTGAAGTACGGAGGAATGCAGCACGTCGGCGAGAAATCCGCCTTCGGCGCAGCGCGACCATGGCCGCGGCGTGGTACGCTGGCGGAGTTCAAATTGCTAATTCGAGCGTGTGAGTGAAGGCGCGTCGGCGGAGCGTGAAGCCGCGCGTGAGAGAGAAGGCCGTTATACCTCGGAGCTGGCGCAGCCATCAAGTGATTCGGCTTTCACGACCGAGAGCCAACCATGACCTCCTGCGAGCAAACAGAGGACACCCCATTCTTGAATTTGCGATTTCAATTCCTTGTGCGAGCTGCGCGCTTCCACCTTCTAGCTTAGAGACGTTCCAGACACCACCGCGCGGAGAGTTACTCGGTGGCAGGGAGAGAATTGAGTGCGCGACATTTGGAATTGAGAGAGATTAGAGTTTGCAGAGGAAACAGAACTGCGAGCAGGAGGCTCGGACCTAGCAGAGAGAGAGTTGAGCAAACCAATTTCAAGAACGCGATGTCGACATCGGTGAAGCTACGGATGGTGCCACTCAAGCTCCCGCAGAATGGATTGCGTGCTTTTGAGGACCTGTAAGACCGGGTGTTGCACATATGTACTAAGTCTTAGAAGTGGTCAAGGGAATAAGGATGATTAGCCAAGGCATAGCTAAGACTAGCTAGTTATGACTAAACTAGTTAATTATAACTAAGTTTATCTAGTCATGACTAAGTTTAGCTACAATGTCTATAGTTGGCGGAGTAATTAGCGGAGTTCTAGAAGAATGGAGTGAGCACTTCTATTTTGTCTTTTACAAGGAGTGAGCACTTCTATTTTGTCTTATACAAAAGTTCTAGATTCCAAGGGATTAGATATTTGACTAGAAGCTTGGAATTGATTGGTTTGACTAAATGTATGAAAGATGATTGGCTAGACTAAGTCTAATGTTGACTTAGTGGCTAGGAAGCTTGTAGAAGTTTAAAAGCTTCCAATGGCATGTCGCCACCTCAACCTTGGATTCCGGAAGCTTCTAGAAGGTTTAGGTAGGCCAATGGCATGTTGCCACGTAGAGAAGGTTAGTCAAACTTACCTAGGTAAAAGTAAGTTAGGAGAAATTACCACATGTTACTATGGTAACTTCTCAAGTAGTATAAATAGAGAGGTAGAGTAGCACCTCTCAAGCAAGTTTGGAGAGTCATGTGTGAGTACTTGTTTCAGTAATGAAGGAGTGAAGTTTTTGAGTATCTTGGAGTATCGACGTGTGTTTGCGTTTATGTGAAGAGGGTGATGAGAGGAGAGTTTGCGTGTGAGTTGGAGTGATACATGAGAGTTTGTGAGAGAAGGTGTTTGGGACATGAGTGAGAGTATGAATCCTAGTCTTCTAGAACCATGATGCGCTACCACAAAGCCATCAGAGGTAAACCTGAGTGAGAGTCAGCCCGGAGGTTGCAGACCGGCTGATTGCAAGGAAACTCAAATTCTTGCTGTGGGGATGGAATTACGTGTGCGTAGACATGGTGCGCGAATGACTGGACGAGGAACGACAACCTACGCGCGGATTCCGTCCGCACGTAGATCGATGGACTGTTCGCGATTGGGGACAGGCATTGGGGAGGTGTGCAGGTGTAACCATCTTTAGTTAGTTAGAACTAAAGTAGAGGTTTCTCTGAATATTGATGTAGATACTTTAGTGTGCACTAGTCATAGTTGCCACGTCAGCGATCCGCGCACTTGGTAGGTTCAGAGTGGATGTGTTAGTTGACAGTGCCACGTCAGCAATCTGTGTGCTTGTAGGTAAGGATTGAGTGTGTTAGTTGGGTGCGCCACGTCAGCGATCCGTGTGCTTGTTAGGGTTATCCGCCACGTCATTCATCCACAAGGAGTGAGATGGATGGTGGGAATTAGATCTTTTCACCTTGTACTTGTTGGTGAGAGCTATATAAGGGAGAGGAGAACCATTGTTGGTATTTCTCATCTTCAGAGTTTACGTTTCTATCTTCGAGTGAACTTCTCTCTAAACCCTAGTGTTACAATGGTATCAGAGCGACCTTGCTCTTTCCTTGAGTGTGGATTACCCCTCATGGAATAGCAAATTAGTGATGATGGAGTGTAGTCTTGAGAGTGTATAGAGGCTGGCAGAGGTCATTCATCTGCATGTAGAGAGAGGTGGAAGGGGGAAATTGTGTTTTTGCAGATATGGACGGGATTGACAGGAATCCAGTACCGCATTGGCCAATTCCTAACCTATTCGATATTCACCTTCGTTGCATGGAGAAACATCATTTTCGGATGTACCTTGTGGCTTGTTGGGGTGCAGATTTTATGACTAGAGTGATGGAGTCAAGAGTGCCACTGATTCTTCCAATAGGTACTTATGGAGAGACTTGGGATTGTACTATATACATTCTATACTGATTGTTTCATGGATTTGAATCGCGAACCACCTGTCCCGGTTCGATTCAGCACTTATGTAGAGAT